ATATATATATATATATATATATATACACATACATACATACATATATACATACATAGGAGTCCAGTTGTGGTCCTGTGGGTTAATGCGCCAGACTGCAAAACTGTTTGAACTGCAAAGTCAGTGGTTCAAGCTCACCAGCTGCTCCTTGGAAACCATATACACTATGGGTTGGAACCAACTTGTCGGCACTTAATAACAACAAATATATATAGAGAGATAGATATAGATATAGATATATACTCCCTTACTATATTTTAGGATCTAAACTGTAATGTTTTGCTTTGTAAAAAAATCTGTTTCACTCCAGCCTTTTATAGTCTAAAGAGACAGTAAACCAATTAATGTATTCATTCTAATAAGCTTTTTCTGCTTCTGGATTACTTATAGCCTTGTGTTCCTAACCAGATTAACAGAGCATTTTTCTTCTGGACCCTTAAAATTGTACTTGGTCATATCATTGATTACATTAGGATTTTATTTCTGGATTTTCAAATTGCTTTTTCTGTATACCATTTAGCTATTTTCACATGTTCTCAGAACATAGAAAGTGCTTACTATTAACTATATCTTCTTTTGCTGATCCCCCTGTTTTATGAAGTTGTTATGGACATCCACTAAATGGCAATGGAGGCTATATGCTGAGAAAAGAGGTGATGCTCTAAATTCTTCAACATGAGTAGATTTCATTTTTACAAGTCATAGAAGTAGTCTGCTGAGAAGTAGAAAGGAAAGTGTAAATGTAAAGTTCTGACGACCCCTAGTACCAATAGCAGCAGGGGTTGTAGTTGTATGCCATCAAGTTAGTTCCGATTCACAGTGATTCTGTGTAGGGTTTTCAAGAAACAGCTGATGGGTTTGAACTACCAACCTTGCTGTTAACAATCCAGTGCTTATCCTACATTGCCACACCAGGACTCCTTTTTACTCCTTGTCGTTTTTGTTAAATGCTGTCAATTTGGTTCCAACTCATAGTGACCCTTTATGGGGTTTCCAGGGAGCAGCTGGTAGGTTTGAACTGCCAACTTTGTGGTTCACAGTCCATTGCTGATCCTACAGCACCAGTCTTAGTAGCCTCAAAATTAATTGTTGATGCAGGCAAGGCTACCATGGCTATGTAGAGCATCTGAAATAGAAATGAGATCCTACTCTTCAGATCTCTTTGACAAGAATCAATTATGTCCTATATAAATATTGCCATTTGGGTAGTATTTGTCTTGACTGTAACATTGCCATGGTATATTATGTAAGTTTTCCTTAAAAAAAAAAAAAAATGTGAAAGACAATGGTAAACTTTCGTGTTGCAGATGCTGTGAAGCCACCTGGCCCCTCCTTGCAAGCACCAGTTGATTTACCTTTAGCTATAAATGCAGCACCATCATCTGCACAGGTGGATCCATCTTCTGCTACTCTACCTCCTCCATACCAGCTAATTAACCTTCCACCACACCTGGAAACTCTTAGCATCCAGGAGGATCCTCAAGACTACCTCTTGCTAATCAACTGTCAAAGCAAGAAGCCTGAACCTATGAGGTAAGTCGTGTGTGTATGTGTGCTTGTAAGTTTAGGAATCCTAGTTTAAGGCAGGTTTCTATTACTCCAGTGATGATTTCTGTTATTCTGGAGATTTTGATGAAGACATCCATCTCTGCAGTCTTTAATCAAAGAACAGTTTTAGCTACAAGGCTCTTTGGGAAATCTGTCTAAACTTACATAGTCTTTGTTACAGACTTACAGTCTTACTTGCTTAACAGATTTCACTGATTTATAAATGGTGATCTTGCTCCATTTCTTATGTGATTGTAAACCAGCCAAGGGTCATCTTTGGTATCTGAAGAAGGAGAAGAATACCTACTGCTAGAAGATTTTGAAAGCAAAACGATTCCACTGCAGTGAGTGTATCGTGGTTGTTTGGGATCTGTGTGAGAAATTAATCATATAGGTAAAATCCCAATATAACAAATTCTGTGGAATATATAAATTGAGTTGTAGTGAAATTTAATAATTATATTGCTAAAATCTATTTTCGCAGTCTTCATACCTAACAGTGAAACCCCCAATGTTGTTACATCGTCATGGAGTCAGTTCCGACTCATAGTTGGGTTTCCAACCTTCTGGTGTGGTGCTATAGAATAAGCACTGGGCTACTAAACAACAGATTGTCCGTTCAAACTCACCAGTTGCTACTCAGAAACCCTATACAAGGTCACTATTGAGTTGAAACCGACTGGATGATACTTAACAACTACCTAGGGTTTCCAAGGAGCAGCTGGTGAATTTGAACTGCCGATCTTGCAGTTAGCAGCAGTCCAGTGCTTATCCTACAATACCACACCAGGACTTTTTACTTATAAAGTAATAAGTAAAATTTCATATATGGAGTTTGGTGCTTGATAAGAGGGATCATAGAGCCTTTCTCAAAGCTTTAGTTTTCCTGTCATCTTTATCCCTGTTCCTCCAATCCCTCTTTTTTTAAAGTATATGCTATTTTAATTTGATCATTCTTGTCATTTAGTGTTGAATGCTTGATGCTGATAGAGTTGGAGAGTAATTATTTTACTATTTGAAAAGGGAACAGAAACTAAAATGATTGGGAGGACTGTCTCTACCATTAACAACTATGTGACAATTCCAGAATAAAAATGGGAGTGGATTGCATCATAGATGTAAAAGATGTTTTTAAGCAGGTTTATAAGATATAAAACATTTCTATGAGAAAGACTATTGTTTTTCATGTAGTAAGTGGCTGTTACGTGGCTAGTATCACATAAAGAACTTATTTTAAAATGTTGCATGTAGAATTTAAGATCCACAAACAGTCCATCGTTGGTTTATGTGCATTTGTTGTAATGGGATTTTACCTGTAAGAACAAAAAAATAATCTTATAAATCAACACTAGTTATATCAGATTCTAACTTGATTTTGCCTGTTTGCTGTGAGAATTTTAAATTACACACTTGCAACTTTGTAAGCTATGCTACTAACTAAGATTTTATTTCATGGAGCCTTGAAATTATTCTTTAATATCCATTTTTAAAACCCAACAGCTAAGTGACTTTTTTCAATAAAACCCAACAGCTAAGTGACCTTTTTCAGTATATTTTTTATATCTACTATCTTTCAGCAATCTTACTAGTATCACAGTAAGATAGGATTTTAATTTTCTTTCCTGTTGTAATTTAAGAAATTGTACTGAAATGTTGCCACCAACAAGTAAACCCGAGTAGGGGTGATGGGAAATTAGGAAAAAAGAAAGACACAAGACACAAAATGAAAACAGTAAAGTTGTACCAGGTGGGACACAGCACTCTGATGGAGATACTGTGACTCAGACCTAGTGCCATGAGTATGTTATATACACAAATCAAAAGAAAGTGCTGGGGGCAGGGAAAGGAATGCAGAAACATCTGGTGTTATTGATGTAAGCAGTAAGCGGGACTTTAACCCACAGTGCCACACCAGGGCTCCAATTTTATACCTAGCTCTTGCAAAAGTGATTGCTGAATAACAGATATCTATAAAGTACCTCCTATATACCCACCATTTTGGTAGGTGCTATAGAGGTCCAAGAAGTGCTGATGTAGCGCTGTGGGTTAATGCGCTGGACTGCAAAGTCGTTTGAACCGCAAGGTCGGTGGTTCAAGCTCCCTAGCTGCTCCTCGGAAACCCTGTACAGGGTCGATATGGATCAGAATCGATTCAACAGCACTTAACAACAATAGAGGTCCAAAGGAATAAAATTTGTATTAAATAGAGTTCCTTCAAATAAAGTTACCTTCAGACTTTATAAGCAAAGTTTTTAAGATGTCAAACCTACAAGGAAATAAGTATTTATAGAGCAAGCCAATATGTGAGAGTTGTCTTGCGAAACTTGTATTCATCCTTCAAGAGTCAGCTGAGACACGAGCCCCTCTAGGAAGCATTCGCCAGACTCCCAGGGTGGAATAAACATCCCTCTCAGTTTCCATGGCATGTTGGTCATCCTTCATTTCTCACTCTTAGTACTGGAAATAACTTGATATTTTTGTGTATTCACCACTAAATGATAAGCTAGACCAGAAATGTATGTTCTACTCTAAACTTGCATGTTTGAATTAAATGAAGTACCAATTTTTAAATATGCCTAGGTGCTTTGGAAATTCCAAGATGGGACAGTGCAAGTGTTTTTAAGACAGCGAAAGCTCCATAAGGGTAGTTGTTGTTGTTGTTGTTAAGTGCCGTTGAGTCAGTTTTGACCCATAGCGACCCTGTACAGGGTTTCCGAGGATGTAAATCTTTACGGGAGTAGAAAGTCTCATCTTTCTCCCGCGGAGCGGCTGGTAGTTTCGAACCGCTGACCTTAAGGTTCACAGCCGATTCGTAACCACTACGCTAGGGTTTGAATTACATCCAATCTGCTGAAAGATAAGAGCATGTCATCAGTAATTTGGAAAGAAGTGAGCTCATAATGGGAGGTAGCCTACCTGGAATAAAGGATTTAACTCAGTGAACAGAAGAAGTAACATGGTTCATTCAAGTTTGAGTCAGGTTATAATGGTAACCTTGGACCCAAGCAGAGTTTTCTGTGGCCTTCAGGTAGTTTCCATAGCCTGTAGGGACCCTTGATAGGTTTTGCTCTGAGTAGATGAGTGGTTAAGTAGTTTCATCTTAACTTATCCCATATTCTATAATGTCCCAAAAAAGAGAGATTGAAAATATACCCAAACAAAGCATAAGTTAATCTCAATAAGATCTCTCAAGATTAATTATTAAATTATTTAAGGTACCTTTTGATCCTCTTTATAATATAGGCTAAATGTTTAACAAACTGAGTAGAAGGGAAGATATAATTTATTAAGTTGCCCCGTTCATGTAGCTCACATTGAATTGATTCAATACCATGTTATCATTTCGTTTTCCATAACAGTGAAGTTGCTACAGGTGAGCTAAAAAGCAGCAATCAACCAGATTTTATGAATTGTAGTAGTACTAGGTTTTTGCTGCTATCCAGAGGAAAAGCATCTCCTTGTGTGTTTCTTAATCATGTACCTTTCTCATAGTTTTGAATCTAATTCCAGTGCTTTAGGGATTATGGTTTTAGGTGTGGATCTAATGGGTGGAATTTAGGGAGTAGAGAGATACAAGAAAGAAATTAGGGAGACTACTTCGAATGGTTTCCTGGTGGTGGTTTGGTTGCCTGGTGTACAATCATAAAAACTAAAGAATGTTTGTGCTTTAAATCTTAATGGATCATACCAAGGAAAAGCTATGTGTTTTGATTGCTAAGCTATAAATATGTTTAAGCATAGTCTTATGTTTTCATCATACTAATGTTTTATCCTGTTGCTAACCATCTTTATTTAGAACGCATGCTGACTCTGCAAAATCCACCTCTTCGGAAACAGACTGCAATGATAATGTCCCTTCTCATAAAAACTCCACGTCTTCCCAGAGCAAACATGGAGTGAATGGCTTTTTTCAGCAGCAGATGACGTATGACTCTCCACCATCACGTGCTACATCTGTTCCTATAGACTCCAGCCTTTATAACTTGCCCAGGAGTTATTCCCACGATGTTTTACCTAAGGTGTCTCCTTCTAGTACTGAAGCAGACGGAGAACTCTATGTTTTTAATACTCCATCTGGGACGTCAAATATAGAGACTCAGATGAGGCATATATCTGCTAGTTACGACATTCCCCCAACACCTGGTAACACTTACCAGATTCCACGAACATTTCCAGAAGGAACCTTGGGACAGACGTCCAAGCTCGAGACTATTCCAGATATTCCTCCACCTCGGCCACCAAAACCACATCCAGTTCATGACCGATCTCCTGTGGAAACGTGCAGCATCACGCGCACAGCCTCAGATACTGACAGTAGTTACTGTACCCCTACTGCAGGGATGCCAACATTGCGTAGCAATACCATTTCCACTGTGGATTTGAACAAATTGAGAAAAGGTTAGCTCTAATGGGATTCTCCTGTATTAGAGTTAATGATAGAGCATCTGTTTTTCTGAATTGTTGTTGTTTTAAGCATTATATAATAATGTGAATTGATAATACTTTCCTCCTCCTTCCCTACAGCTCTGTAGTCATCTATTTATACAGCCAAGCTAAAAGTTTCAGTAGGTCTCTGGAAGAGAGGGTGTGTGTGCATGTATGTTTGTCTGTACATGTTCTGCTGGAAGGAAGAAGGAGTTAAGAGTTTTTCATTCTTGAAGAAGTTTGCCCTTTGTGATGCCTTCCTCTCTGCCACTTTCTATATTTCCTGCACCCCTCTTTTGACCAGAGGAGCAGGAAATGGACCAGCCATGAAACCTCTCTGAACCTTTCCTGCATTTGTGTGCCATTATGGACACTTCTCTGTCATATCTGTTGGGTTCTGTTTCCTTCCTTCCTATAAAAGTTGTTTTCACATTGAGTCTGACAGGTGATGTTCAATTCCACCCAAGCCATTTTGCTTTTTGTTTGATTGTTGTTTTTATGTGATGAATCTCCTTTCTCTGTTATTCCTACCCACTTCAAGGACTGCTGTAATTGAACATATTTTGCCTATACCATCTCTTAGAGTCTGCCTCCAAAAGTTGCTTTGAGAGGAGAAAAGTTGGGTCTAGGTTATTCTCTGAGATTCTTAAATTCCTAAAAATAAAAGCCAAAATTTTAAATACCTGCCCTAAAAACTATCAACTAAAATGTATGTGTTTTGCAGTAGCATTAACCAGCTGTCTTTAAAGAGCATAAGATTTAAGACATCATTAATGGAACTTATATTGGTACTTACTTAGCTATTCAAGGAGCTCTGGTAGCATAGTGGTTACAAGTAGTGCTACTAACCTCAGGGTCAGCAGTTCGAAACTACCATCTGTTCTGCGGGAGAAAGATGAGGCTTTCTGCTCCCATAAAGATTTACAGCCTCGGAAACCCTGTACAGGGTCACTATGAGTCAGGACACTGGTATCAGTTAACATAGGTGTATCTGCATTTTCTAGTAGTTTGATTTACCAACTCAAGATATCATTCTGTGAGCTGTGGGTGTCCTTTTTAAAATCCGTGTGTATCGAAGGAGATTAGATCATTGTATCTGTGTGTGTGCAGAAAGAGAAAAGGAAAAAAAAGATTCTTGATCATCCTGAGAGCTAGCAAAAATGGGAAAAAATATTGATATTTTTTTCTTTGTTTTAGATGCTAGCTCTCAAGACTGCTATGATATTCCACGAACATTTCCAAGTGATAGATCTAGTTCGCTTGAAGGCTTCCACAACCACTTTGTAAGTATATTTGATCTTGGCATCCTAGAGTATTTTATTGTCAAAACCTGCACTTAGTGTCCTAAGACAAAACGAGATCATGAAATAGCAGTACCTTCATAGCCGTATGAATAGGTGTGACTTACACTTATGTTTGCCCATTTAACAGTGTTTTTTGTGTCTTAAAAAGAACTGTATGTGTGTTTTAGAAAATCAAAAATGTGTTGACAGTGGGAAGTGTATCAAGTGAAGAACTGGATGAAAATTACGTTCCTATGAATCCCAACTCCCCACCACGGCAACATTCCAGCAGTTTTACAGAATCAATTCAGGAAGCAAATTATGTGCCAATGACACCAGGAACATTTGATTTTTCTTCATTTGGAATGCAAGTGCCTCCTCCTGCTCATCTGGGCTTCAGGTCCAGCCCAAAGACCCCTCCCAGACGGCCAGTGCCTGTTGCAGACTGTGAACCGCCCCCTGTGGATAGGAACCTCAAGCCAGACAGAAAAGGTAAGGAAAGCAAGGAGTGGGGAACCAATCTGGGGCCAGTTTACATCTATATTTAAGTGGCGTGAAGTCCAAAAGAAACTGGGCCAAGACTACCTTAGTTAACATCTTAATTCAAGGAAAGCAATACTGCTATTTAGTTTAATCATTCTTATATGTTGTTGGTGCACAGGTGAGATTTAGGTCTCCCGTCTCTAAAGTGGAGGTTATAAATTAAAATACCCACAGGGGCTGACAGGCAACAGGAAATAGAAGCAGGACCTGTCCCATCTAAATGAGCCATCTACTGCTGGGCTCCAGTCCTCTGTTGACTTAGGCAAATTTGGGCTCATGTGAGCAAATTCTCTGATGCTTCAAGAGAAGCCAACAATTTGGACTTCGTTTTACACATTTCGCTCTTGATTTTCAAATTCTAAGAGCTATTTTAGTTATTTAAATATAAAATACAGACCAAGACAAATACCTCTGCAAGTTAGACACAGCCTTCAGCTTCTATTATGTAACCTGTTCTCTAGAGTAGATGGTATCAAATCAGATTTAAAATTATTATTGTATTTGATGTAATTCTTTAAGAACAGGAAAGTTGCCTGTATACTCTTTCCGTTCTGTCAGCATAACAACTTTTTAAATATTTTTCCACCTATGCTGGGTATAAATAAGTGCTTCTAGTCTATTTTTTTCATACTGGCTTTCATAAGTAACATTAAATTCTAAAGTAGCATGGTCTGTTAAGAACTCTATGTGAAAGAAACATTTTGGCCAGTGGGTAATAAATAGCCAAGTTTGAAAATTTGGAGTTTGAGTGTTTAAAACAGACAGTTGTCTATTTGCTGTGTTGCAGCATGCTATGAGTGTGTTTTAATCTTGAGAAGCGAATAAGTTAGTGTCCTGGCTGTGTGGTGACTGATGGGATTTCCAGCTCACTGCAGGAGATTCCAGCACAGTTGTAGCTTTTTATGAACATGTTGTATTTGTGTAAATTTCTCATTAACATGTTCCAGTTGTGGGGAACAGAGTCTGACTACGCAGAGTATCTTGAGAGAAGGGGTTCTGTTTTATTTTGAGTAAAAACACACTGGAACAGAAACTCAAGAGTCCTCAGGACCTGGGAAAGTTCTACGGGACACTCACCTGGTCTGTCATGCTTTTTCCTCTCTGCATTTCTGTCTCGCATTTCTCATGGCAAGTCTTTGCATTTGCTTTGTTCTGTCACTACCAGATTGTATATTTCTTTCCTCTTTTTCGTGTTTTTCTAGCTGATAACCTCTACTTTAAATGGTTTCTGCTTCCCAAGAGCTTTGGGCTGTTATGCCCCTCTGTGGCCTTGGTTCTGCCTGGTGCCTCCTTTCTGTGTGTTCTTACAGCTTTGGTGTCTGCTGCTAATTGCCTCATTCATTATTTACTTACTTCAGATTGCTACAAGAAAATGTGATTAGTCCAGTTTGTCTTTCCACATCAGGGTACATGATTGATTGTAGGCTGGTGTTGGATAAGCACCCACCTTTGGGATGAAACTGCTGGGGGAGATAGTCCTGGATGACACACGTGGCTTCCAGACTGACCAGGAGGCAGGGCAGTGGGCAGAGGCAGCCCTCTTAGAAAGCATGTGTGTGTCACAGGCTTTTTACTTGATAATTTCTTTCCTTCTGTTTCTTTTGGTCTTCATTTGTCTTTAAATCTGTTTCAGACAATGTGAGCTTTTTTACATGCATTATACAAAAGATGTGTCTGAACATATACAGACTTACAATTGAGTTCTTGGAGCACTGGAGGATTAAGATACAAGTATCATGAACTCTGTGAAATTCTGAAAATCTATTAATGCTACTCTGGTGCTTTCCTTATTTTCCTATAATTAGAGCATGTCGGTGGCAGGCAGATGGCTACTTTTTAATCCAGACTTTAACTATCTTGTATCATGAGGTGCCACATAAATCTGGATAGAGGTGATACGGTTTGAAAAAGAGTACAAGAGCTCTAAGTTTGGCCTACTTTATTCCCCTCCCTTCCCTCAGTCTCTGTAGGACTCAAGTTTGAAAATTCTCAGTAAAACTCACAATTACTAATACCACATACTGCAGAATCAGAAAAGAACCCTATTTATGTGTTAAAAACAGTTCGAGATCATAATGTCATGCTCACTTCATTTAGTATCGCTCTGGTAGCGTAGTGGTTACGAATCGGGCTGCGAACCTTAAGGTCAGCGGTTCGAAACTACCAGCTGCTCCGCGGGAGAAAGATGAGGCTTTCTACTCCCGTAAAGATTTACACCCTCGGAAACCCTATACAGGGTCGCTATGGGTCGGAACCGACTCGATGGCACATAACAACAACAACAAGGTCAAATAGGGACTTGTGGTATGGCACTGTAGGATCATCACTGGACTTCAAACCATAAGGTCGGCAGTTCATACCCACCAGCCGCTCCTTGGAAACGCTGAACAGGGGGTCATTATGAGTCGAAACTGACGCACTTAACAACAAGGCAAATAGAGCTCATTATACCCCATTGGACTCCTGGTGTGGTGCTGTAGGATAAGCAATGGACGGTTAATCACAAGGTTGGTGGTTCAGACCCACCAGCCGCTCCTCCGAAACCCTGTACAGTGTAGCTGTGAGTCAGAACCGACTCAACGCCACTTTAACAACAACATACCACATTAATATATTTCTGTATCACAATAATGTGACATATGTAATTTTGTATATCTTATATGTCACCTATGTATATGTATAATTTTACCTCCCTGCATTTTCAGTAAAAGCACAGTGTATTCTAGTATATAAGACATTCATTGCCTCAGTTATTTAAACCAGTAGAACAAAACAAAGTAGGTAGGACTTGGTTACTTCTAGAGATGTGTTCAGTCTTTTAAAAATGTACTCTTGGAAGACAGTGTTTGACCAGATCATTTATTTGGTATATTTCCTTAGAAACAAAAGGAACTGAGAAAGAACTCCCAGAAAGAAACACCACATGATTTTTTGAGAAATCAAGAATAGGTTCAGTATAGCATTAAAGATATTGCCAAGATCATAGTAATGAAAAAAGAAGTTTGCTTTTCTTCAGCACTATTCCATTTTTTAAATATATCTGGTAACAGAGGAGGCATGACAAAGAAACACTACAGGTCTGACTTTGTCAACTTCCTTTAGAAACCTATAACTTTTCAAAAGCACAGATTAAAACCCAAATTCCAATCTTATAGCAGAGTTTATGCTTTCAAATTGTCACTGTTAAATGCCTTACTTGGTCAAGACATTCTCCTCATCATTCGTGTCATTGTCACGAGTCTCTAATTTCAAATTTCATGACATCTAATAAATGACAATCTATTATTCCAGCTTCTCCAATTGACTAAAACTTGATAAACAAATATGATCCTATCAAGTAAGGCCTTGATTAATTTCAAAGCACAGTCTAACTATTTAAGTAAGTGAAAGCCCAATATGAATGCTTCCTTGGTTGTCTACTTTGTTTAAGGGTCTACAATAAATGAGTACCATTCTAGTCCTGTTTATATTCTAAATATAGAAGTCAGCTGCTGTACTTTGCAGTATAAAGACATACTTTTAAGAAGTTTTGAGTAATTAAGATGAGAAATAAGTAGATATTTTAAATACTTAAACTTAATGTACTATCATTTACGAATCGGGCTGCGAACCTCAAGGTCAGTAGTTCCAAACTACCGGCTGTTTCGCGGGAGAAAGATGAGGCTTTCTGCTCCCGTAAAGATTTACAGCCTGGGAAACCCTGTACAGGGTCGCTATGAGTCGGAACCAACTCCAAAGCATATAACCACCACCAATGTACTATCATGGACCCTTTGTCACACTGTGGTGGCTTACATGTTGCTGTGATGCTGTTATGCCACTACTGTTTCAAATACCAGCAGGATCACCCATAGTTAACAACTTTTAGTCGAACTTCTAGACTAAGACAGAAAAAAAGGACCTGGGAATCTGCTTCTGAAAAATGGCCAGTGAAAATCTTACGAATAGCAGCAAAGCATGGGCTGATATGGTGCCAGAAGATGAGCCTTCAGGTTGGAAGACACTCAAAATGCAACTGGCAAAGAGCTGCTTCCTCAAAGTAGAGTCAACCTTAATGACATTAATGGAATAAAACTCTTGGGATTTTTATTTACTGATGTTACTCAGCACAAAGTGAGAAGAAATGGCTTCAAACATCCATTTGTAATTGAAACATGGAGTGTAAAGTATGAATCCAAGAAAATTGGAAGGTGTCAAAAAGAATATTTCAAGATCTGTCTTAAAGTACAATACTATCTGTGATAGTATAATATTCATACGCCTATAAGGACTACCAGTTGATAGCACTGTTATTCAAATTTATACACCAACCACTATGCCAATGATGACAAAATTGAGGAATTCACCCAATTAAGGAGGTTGAAATTGATCAAACATACCTTGATAATTACTGGTGATTGGAATGCAAAATTTAGAAACAAAGAAGGATTGGTGGTGGTGGTGGTGGGCCTTGGTGTCTGTTCCGACTCATAATGACCCTGAATAGGGTTTCTGAGGCTATAAATTCTCATCGTCTCCTGCAGAATGGCTGGTAGTTTTGAATTGCTGAACTTGATGTTAGCAGCCCAACTCGTAACCACTACACTACCAGAGCTCCTTAAAGAAGGATTGTTGTTGTTATTAAATGTCGTTAAGCCGGTTCCCACCCATAGCAACCCTGTATAGGATTTCTGAGGAGCAGCTGGTGAGCTTGAACTACTGACCTTGCAGTCCAGTGCATTATCCAGTAGCACCACACATAATAGGTGGAAAATATGGAGTTGGTGATAAAAACAGTGATGGAGAGCTCATAAAACAATTTTGTAAGACCAACAAGTTTTTTCAACAATATAAATGGCAACAATCCATGTGGACCTTACCAGACAAAATACACAAGAATAAAATCAGTTATATCTTTAAAGATGATGGAGAAGCTCAGTTCAGTCAGAGTAAAATCGGGGACCAGTACA